GGGGCGGGAAGATGGCGTCACAGGTAACTTCCTAGGGTCAGGGGAGATAGGGGCTTCCTGCTTCCAGTTGAGTCTTTCCTGGCTACAGTGTCCTGTCTGGGCCAAAACCCTTTCAATGCCCTAATCTCCTGCCTCAATAGATCATAGAATGCTCTGTCTTAAAACTAATTATAATGGTAAATACAGATTGTGATACCCTAAAAATTACTAAAGTGGTATTTTTCTTGTTTAAAAACAGTTCAACATACATACAAGTACAGCACTACACAGAAAGAGCCTTTAGAGATTATTTCTTAATAATATATTGATTATTTTTTATTTTTGTTATGTTTATTATTCTAGCCTCAAACCTCAAAAACCTAAGAAGCTTACAGCTATATAAATCAGTAGAAAAAGTGAAAATCTTCTATCCCTTTCAGTAATAATGAGAATCTACATGAAAGTAAAAGTATTTTCTCCCCTCAGAACTTTGCAGAACTCCAAGAAAACCCATATGATAAAAGTCTGTGTTTAGGCTTTTAACATCCTTCTGTTCCTTGTTATAGACAAGAAAATGAATAACGTCAACCAGTTCCCAAATACCATTCAAAGCATGTGTGCAGCTCTGCGCTGGGGGACAGAAACTCTAGATTTTGCAAGGACTTTGACATATTACGGAACATTCTGAGTACTTATCCTGTTCCTGAGGCAATATTTTGTCTGTTCCTAATTGAATGCTATGTCAGTTGACCCCCATACCATACCTCAGAGAAACTAAATGCCCTTAAATTCATACTTTCAAGCTCAAAATAAACTATGTAACCAGCTTTTGGAGGAATACAAGGGGAGAAAAAGCATCAATAGCTTTCGTGTGACAACTCTCCGAAGTGACATTTACATTTGCATTTCAACAACCTCCTTTCAGGCTTGGTCCCATGGAATGGGTAAGTGGTTACTAAGAATACCATTGAGAAGGCTCTAATCACCCACATTCTGTTACAGAGGTAACTGTAAGAGGGAGATTTCAAAGACTTGCCCAAAATTTAATTTGAGGAACAAGATGTATTTTAGTATTAAGTAATACATGCATAGAGAGGTTGAAATAAAGGATTATGTTTAATGATCATAACATCCTATTTGATATTTTAATTGCTACTGAAAACCAGACAGTACAATCTTTAGTAAACATTAACTCTGAATGTAATAAAAATAATAAGCACAGTGTATATCATTTCCCAAAATAATATAAACTTGATTCTTACACTTTATTTTTCCTTAGTCTCTTCTCAATGATTTTTAAAATTTCCAGATTATCCAGCCAATCACTGGCATACTCAGAGTTGACAGTTAAACTCCAAACACCATGACGCTCTGTCTCATTTTGTTTCTTCCTTTCATTTATTCATTAAACTAACGTATATCACCCTCTTCATTAGAACAGCACTCACTGAGGCCAGCAGACCTGGAGGAAGCTTAGCACTATAGCCAGGAAAACCATGGTCCACAAACTTGAGGGCAGAGACAGGGTGAGGAAGGAAAGTAGCAGGTACTGGGGCCTCTGGATTCAGGAATGATTATGATGCCTTTAACCAACAAAGTGAACCAGGAGGAGGAGCTTGGCAGGAAAACAGAATGTTTAACTGTGAGCATGCGGAGTAGACTTTCCCTTTTTGTACATATTATGCCCGGTAGAGGCAGAGAAGCAACAAATAGGAGTGTGGTCCTCGGTATCAGCTATTGTCGACCTTGAATTTGAGCCTCACTACAGTGTTGAGTAGCTGCAAGACTTGGGGAAAGTGTACATCCTAGTGTCCTAATTTAACATATATAAAATAGGACTATAATAGTTACTACTTCAGATCCTTGGCAAAATAAAATTAAATAGCTACTATGCCTAACATGTGTGGTATACAATGAATACTCAATACGTGGTATTTTACTAATAAAACCATCAGTAATGGCTGAAGATGATTTTATGTTGTTGGTATTGAAAGGGTTTTGGCCCAGATAGGACACTGTAACCAGTGAAGCCTTAGAGGCAGAACCAAGGAGCTCCTATCTCCCTCACCCCTAGGAATTTACCTGTGACTCCATCTTCCCTGCCCCCTAGGAATTTACCTATGGTGCCAAACAAAGACCAATGGGCTACCCATGCATCCTTGATGCCCCTTTAGGTTCCACCCCAAACCAAGGCTACTTATGTGCCTCACTCCAGGTGTTCCACAGAGAGATCGACAACCCCGGGGTGGAGATGCTGTGCCCCAGGGGATTGGGGGTGTCTCTCCTCACATTCTCAAAATAAAGGTCAATTATATTTCATACCTCTTATCTTTTCAGCCGCCGCCAGTCCCCCACAGTTCTATCATATGGTTCCCTGACTGGGAACGGCAGAAGAGAGACTCCTGGGGCTGATTCCCAGTTTGAGTCCCCTGCCATTCAGGACCAGAACCATACTGCATCCTGCATTAATTCCTCACCTCTACACTCAGAAGCTGTAAGCTTGTCACTGCCAGTTTGCAAACAACACTGACCCAATTTACCACAGGTGAGCAACTCCTAGAGATTGCCGCTGGGCCATGCCCCAGGTGGGTTTTCTCCCCCTTTCCATAGGTTCACGTAAAGCTCTCATGTCCTCACCCCAAGGCAGGGTCTTTCTGGGCAACCTGTGTCCACACTGGACCAGCCCACACTGAGAGACCCTCATGTCCTTCAGAGCTTTTTAAGTTCTCACAGGCAGAGCTGTTACTAGACCCACGTGGAAGTCCACTCATAATATTGGTGACAGCCAATTATTAAGAGTTTTGGAGCCATATAATATACTGATCGGTCTGCAGTAAAAAAGTAATGACTTTGAACTTGGCAGACCACAGTCCATTGCCTCATCTGGCTGTAACCCCGTGGGCTAGAACCCACACCAGATTTTATCTGAGGGACCACTTCCTGTTCCCCCCCCCAAAAAACCATACCTATCTATGGCTTATCACACTGCCGACAAGTTTACAAAATTTTCTATCTTTAAGCCTTTGTTTTGAGAATGTGTCCTTTCCCACCAGCATCCCTGTCCCTTTGTCTCCTCACCACTCCCCCCCCCACCCACTGTGCGCCGACCCATTCCCCGCCGGGGTGGGGGGTGAGCCCGAACAGTGTTGAGAGATACGTGCAGGACTATTTTAAGCTGCTTTGGGCTTTGTTCAGTTTTGGGCTCCCGTGCTGCCTCCTGGCTCTGTGCAATGTCTTGGCTCTCATGCAGCCAGGTCCACGCAGGTTCGGCTTTAATGTTGCACCCGAATCTGCACATCCCATGAGCAGCTCCTCCATGTGGCGGTTCAGCTCCCGCACCCAGTGGGCTAAAGGCCGCGTGCCTCCGGGAGCAGCCCCAGCTTCATGCTGCATCGGGCCACCTCCCAGCTCTGCCCCGTGTGCCATCGTTGCCTCCACCTTGCGCATTTCCGAGGGCAATCCCAGCCTCATCCTGCGCACACTATGTCCCAGTGCTCCCCCGTCTTTACTCTACGTGCGCCGCCCCTACTCTGGCGCCCTCCCTGCCCTAAACACCCCTCCCACTCTGCATGTTCCACCTCCTCTCTGAGTGCCAGAGAGATCCCAGCCCCCACCCCCAAGCACAGGTGCGGCTGTCTGCAAGCGCGCTCTGTCTACTGGTTCAAACAGGCACCGCAGACAACTTATATTGCTGATCTGATGCTATTCGTGTTTTTAGATATAAAGTTCAGATTGTTTCTGCTGCCTTTTTTTTTTTTGTGTGTTCCAAGCCATGACAAATGCCCCCACCCTGGGCACGCCCCGCCCAGCCTCAGAGTTCCATCTGCCTTGGGCACTGTGCGTTTCCCAGGCAAGTGCATTTCCCAGGCAGGCTTCTGCCAAACACAAGTGCCGCTTTAAACACAGGCACAGGTAGGCAGCAGCGTGGCAGCTCAACCCAGAGATCAATTCCTTTTTGCTATAAACCACCAATAATGTTCTATGTTAAGCTCACTGCCTATATTATACTGTATTGTCATAAGTGGTGTTCTGTGTTGGGCTTATTGCCTCTATTGTACTGTGTTGTCACCGACCTCCTGTTTAACAACTAGGGTTATAAATTCCTTTTTGCTGGGAACCACTAGCTCTGTTCCAAGACAAGAGTTTTGTTGAAAGTTTTAATGTTGTCTGAGAAATGAAAACAAAGGTAATTGACTGGTAACTTGAGGTTGTATAGTAAGTTGTAATGTGAAAGAAGATAGGAAGTTGTAGAAAAGCTTGAGAAGAAAGAAGATAGGAAAGAAAGCTCAACTTGAGGGTATATAGTTAGTTGTAAAAAGCTCGAAAAGAATGTGAAATGTGAAAGAGGATGTGAATTTTAGCTCAACTTGAGGGTATATAGTAAGTTGTAGAAAGCTCAAGAGAATATAAATTTTATTTGTCTTGGTTAATGTGAAAGAAGACTTGAGGGTATATAGTAAGTTATAGAAAGCTCGAGCAGATGTGAATTTTATTTGTCTTGGTTCATAGTACTGCAAATAACAGATTTAAAAGAAGTAAATGTGTTCAGAATTTGACAGTATTAGATCAGTTTTGGTAGATTTATTCCTAAGATTGGTAAACCTTTGCTGCAAAATGTTTCCATTAAAATGAGATTATACTCCAAAAGAGGGAGGGCAGACTAAAGCCTTTTTATTAAGAGACACTTATATATATGACATAAATAACATGTCAGTTCCTACAGTTCTCTGGACCTTGTCCTCCTTATGGGAAGTCATTACTAAAGTTATTAATATCCTGTTAAATGTGTTTGACTCCTGCATACTTACTTAATTCTACAGATACTTTCTACTATAGTCCATATCCCAAACAAAAAGTCAAAACTTGACCTTCAAACCTCATAGAGATTTTAATATGGCTTTTTATGTTTTCAATGATAGAGATAACACTTGTGACACTTGGAGTTCTGAGACAGGTAAACCTACACAAGGTGGAGCTGCCTGCCCCCGCCCCCATGGACCACGCTCAAATGCAGCAGCAGACATTGGGCAAGAGAGTGCCCCATCCTGGTGTTCTTTGAGACCTTACTCCAGGGCTACTGGACTGTCCTAGCCACCAGAGAGTGGGTAAGCCATCCTAACTTCTAGCCCTCACAGGAAATGCCAGCACTGCCAGATTCGTCGCCAACAGATAAACTTGCTGCCAAAGACTGAGGGGGCTCAGGGCCAACAGCCTCCTTTATGGGTCCAAGTCCCACTAAAACTCTCAGGTAAGACATTCTCTATATTTGTGGACATAGAGGCCATATATACAGAGTTCTTCCTGAGTTTTCAGGCTGCTCTATTAAGTCCTCAATCTCTATGACGGGGTATTGGTGGTCAACCTATGCCATTTACAAATGGGGCCTATTTTGTGCAGGTCCCAGTCCTAAATCTTAAAATGCCTTTTATACAGGCTGACTTAGACACACTGAGGCCTCAACAGCTTACACCTGTTATCTCTAGTAAACCTCTCCTCAATGGTGTAAGACCATCTCCTTCCTTTCTTATTCACCAATTTCTCAGGCAACCCTGGTCAAGGCTGACAGATACATTTTGTCCTCTCAATTTGTTTATTATACCAAAAAAGCCTGTCCCACAACCAGGGAAACTGCTGATATACTTGCTAAAGCTCTGCTACAGCAAATCATTCCAAGTACTACAGCCAGGTTACAGCGACCCATACCTGATATTCTTGGCAACCTCAATAGTAATTAAAGTTGCTAGACTGCCATTCTGGTTTCACATCACTCAGGCCCTAGATCTAACCATCCTGTTGCCTACTCATCTCTGCCTTATGAAGGCCCCCACAACCACGACTCTCAGGCTGTCATGTTTTTTTATCCAATTTGGTTTCTAATTTCTTATTTTTTTTACAGCAGTACTCTTAACAGTATTTCCTACAGACTCCAATGTCATGCACACCAGAGACATGCCTTACTTACCTACCCTTTTAACTTTTATGCTTTCAGATGGGGGAGTAAGCACCTCTCATAACTTCACTTCTCCTAACCTCACATTTATTTTTCAGAATTCCACCTCATCGTGACAATGACCCTACCTCAACATCATCCTGACATAATGACATGTCTAAATCAAAGGTATCTTTCCTTTACCTCACCTGGGTCCTTAAATATGATAGTGCCATACCTCCTCATAACATCTTGTCTCTTTGTTTTTCCAGTCTAACATATGTGCATTCACCAGTGAAGTCATCCTGGCTAAAACACCTGGCACCAGCTTCTACCTGGGCATCAACCATCATCCCGTTGACTCCCCTAGACCCCAGTACAGTGCCCTCTGCCAGCAGGAAGTAGTTAAAGAGAGAAATCTTCACCCCTTTTCATAATAATAATCATAAGACGAGATATGAAAGGGTTTGGACCCAGACAGGAGTCTGTAGCCAGTGAAGCCTTAGAGGCGGAACCAAGGAGCTCCTATCTCCCCCACCCCTAAGAATTTACCTGTGACTCCATCTTCCCCACCCCCTAGGAATTTACCTATGGTGCCAAACAAAGACCAATGGGCTACCCGTGCATCCCTGATTCCCCCTTAGGTTGCATCCCTGCTACTTATGTGCCTCACTCCAGGTGTTCCACAGAGAGATCACCGACCCCAGGGTGGAGATGCCATGCCCCAGAGGACTGGGGGTGTCTCTCCCCACATTCTCAAAATAAAAGTCATTTATATTTCATACTTCTTATCTTTTCAGCCGCCGCCGGTCCCCCACAGTTCTATCAGGTATATGATCAGTGATTGAAAGTATTACAGTCAATGACACTGACAAATGTATAAAGCCAAGATCATAATTCACTTGCTTTAAGGCAAGGCAGTAAATGAGTAGAGTGAATTTGTATAAGCATATTTGCACACTTTGCAAATGATGGGGACTCTGGGAGAATTGAGAATATGGAGGCCAGAGGTGGGTGGGGCTTTACACACTGAGAGGCTGAAAGATGAGGATTGTAAATCCAGCCTTGGCACTTAGTGAGGCCCTGTACAGAAATAAAAAATTTTAAAAAGGTGGGAATCTAGCTCAGTGTGAAGGTCTTGGATTTAATCTCTATACTGGAAGAAAAAAATGGCAACAACAGGAACACAATAACCATGAAGAAGAAATAGACTTCTCCTTTTGAAATGAGTCCTGTTTTTTTTTTTCCACAAAAGCCAGAAATTCTTGGCTTAAATGCTGGCAACTACATTCAATTTAACCAGTAAAACACATAGATGACTATGACTTCTGGCATAGAGAAAGAAAAGGAGTGAGAATAGAGCCCTGAAGGATACCGTCACTAAAGGGGAGGCAGAGAAAGAGGAAAGACAGTGAAATCCAAGAACAGGAAGGGAAAGAGAAGGCCCGAAAGGTGATGTCAGAGAAGCCAAAAACAAGAAGCACTCCAGGGAGGACAGAGTCACCCCAGCATCAGAGGTCTCACAAGGGATAGACTATGCCACACAAGCCCATTAGCAGTAGTGAGCACCTCTTGAGACAGCAGATTTAATTGTTAGTAAGCAGAGATATCATTGCAGCATTAGAAATAAAGTGAGAGGTTCTGAGAGACTAGAACAATGCATGGGAGAACTTTATGTATATCTATCTCTTGAATTGCAAAGAAGAGGCTCTGAGAACTAGTGGTATCTTTGGAAAAGCAAGATGGACATTGCCAGTCCAATTATACCCTGAACACAGATCTGATGGTCAAAATTAGAGGCAAATAACAAGTAGTGAAACCCATACAAACTGTGAGCCAAAATAAATCTTTCCTCCTTAAACCTTAGGTGTCAGGTTTTTGCCTCAGTGAAGAGAAAAGTAACTAAGGTAGAATTTGGTACCAGAGAAGTGGGGTTGTTATTGTGACTCTGCCTGACCATGTGGTTCAGGGTCCTTTGAAATGGGCTTGTGGAAAGAGTTTGGAAAGGTTTGGAGATGTGGGCTTGAGAATCAGCCCTGGAATGCCTTAAGCTATACTTAATGTGAGATTCTTGTCAGAGCCCCAAAGACCAGAATGCTAGTATAAATGTGGCTGGTAAAGAAACCAGGAGGTTTCTGCTAGGCAGAATGACTACATTGGTGGTTGTACTCAAGACGATGTATGTTATTCCTTGGTAGCAAGTTTGTCTGCATTTTGCTTGTGTCCAGAGACTTTGCCTGAGACTTAAATCTAATGCTGTCAACTAATTCATCTTGCAGAAGAAATTTTAAAGCAGTCTAATGTTGAGGTAGTATCATGGCTATGGTTGGGGGCATTTAGTCACATCTATGTTGAGAATCAAAAGTAAAGATCCCAGCAGGCTGATTTAAAATGTTAGGAGTTTGGCCAGAAAGAAATCTATGGATTGTAAAGATAAAAAAGATGAGAACTTGGTTGCTAAGAAGGAAAAGGACGGGGGCTGGAGATTTAGCTCAGCGGCATAAGCGCCTGCCTTGCAAGCAGGCAGTCGTGAGTTCGATCCCTGGTACCGATAAAAAGGAAAAAGACAAAAAAAAAAAAAAAAAAAAAAAAAAAAAAGAAAAAGAAAAGAAAAGGAAGATGGCAAAAATGGCCTGAGGACATCAAAAGAAACAGAAGGACTACAGCCTTTGCAAAAGCCTCAAGGTTTCAAAGATGAAAGAATTTGCTTTGAGAAGAAAGCAACATGTTTCAGAGCACCATATTCCAGAATGGCAGTGACCTAGAGAATCTGTTCCTCAGGATTGCATTCAGAGTGCTCAGCAATCCAAGCACTCAACCCCTAGAGCCAAGACAGAAGGAAGCTGGCTACTGCTTCAGCTGGTGGCAGACCTTGGCATCATCCAGATGGTGCTGGTTGTAGATGCATGCAGAATGCAAGAGTTGTGGAGTCAAGATAGCTTCCTTCAAGAGTTCAGAAGAAGAGGCAATGTGAAGATCTGAGAGGGCAGTTTGTGAAGCTCTGAGTATGAAGCTGAAGGCACAGTGGAGGTTCCAGAACTTTGAAGACACCATGAACATGAATTGTCTGAGGAAAGGTACAATGAATAAGTAAAGCCAGCCCAAGAGAGAAGCCATGGGAGCTACTACCCTCTGCAATGTGGGAGAGGTAGAGCCACGCAAGCCATTTGGAGTTTACATCTTGCCACAAATTGCCCCAGATACTGCACAAGGAAATACAGGACTTAATGTTTACCCTGCTGAAGTGTGGACTTGCTTTGGTCCCATTCCTTTCTATTCCCCTATTTGGAATGGGAATGTTTATCTTGTGCATTAAATGTTGAAAGTGTTTATCTTTCTTTTCATTTGTACAGGGGGCTTCTAGCTAAGAGTTTGGCTTAAATCTTAGAGACTTTAGACAGATTTTCAGCAGTGCTGAAACTATTAAGATTTTGGCAACTCTTGGAAATGCATAAAATCATGTGCATGAGTCTTTGGGGGACCAGGTGCAGAATGTTATGATTTGTGTCTAGATGTCCCCCCAAACTTCATAAGGTCATAGATGGCACTTTTTGGAGGTAGCTGGATCTAGAGTGTGTGATGTTGAGATTAAGGATGTGATGCTGGGATGAAGGGTATTTGATTACTAAATTAGCCCACTGATTGAGTTGGCATAGTTCTGGGTAGGTTAAGAGTGCCCCACTCTGGGTGTGAGTGCTACCCAAGGGTGGGTAGCCTGGATAGAATATAAGGGATAGAAAGAAGGCTGCTGTCATTACTGCTTGTTGCTTGCTGTTGCTTGCTGCTTTGCTGTTTCCTGCTACTTGTCATGAACTATTTCTTCTCTGTTATCTTTCTTTTCCATGCACCCAGCCTTAGAGCCAGCCAATTATGGGCTGAAAACTGTGAGCTAAATAAATGTTTCTTCTTTTAACTTCAGGTGTTGAGTATTTTATCTCAGCAATGAGAATGTAACTAAAACCAGTTGGAAAGCAGAAAACTTGTACCATCCTCATCAGCAAATTAGTTAATCAGAGTATAGAGAAACAAAGAACAAACTCTAACATTCTACCCAATGCTGAATTTTGAGATCTTTTATTTCTTTCCATGTAAATATCAATATTATTATTATTAGTGGTATTATTAATGTCAATATTTATATTTCCTGAGAACCACAAAAGCACTAAATACAGAAATATGGCTTAAAATAGGAAACATATCCATTATCCTTAAACATTATGATTTGGGTCAAGACTGTAATCCTTTAAGTATTCTTTAAATAGAAAGTTACTAAATAACAATTGTTAACTCTTAAAGAATTGCCAAGAAGGCTGAAGGAAGATTTTTAGCTTGCATGAAAATAATTTTTTAAAAATTGATATAGTAAAAGGGAAAGTTATCCCTGTAGACATATAATAACAACCAGTGCATAAACATTTACTATGTGCATTTTGAGCTACCATGATGAGAAAAAGACTCTAAATATTAGGATATTTAATATTCTTGTCATTTAGCAAGCCTGGAAAACAAGGTGCAGAAATACAAATTTATTAGTCCAATTTCACTTGGGAAGTTAATAACTAAGTGAAGCTTAGAATTTATATCTTCTGACTTCTCACTTTTTCTTCCCATAAACCTCTCCATATAAGAAGTGTAGGCTAATTAACCCATTAAAGCATATGACTTCAGGGCCTGAAACACAGAACACATGTATTTTGATAGGTGGATGGTGGATGAATGAAGTTTGTGCATAGTCACAATGGCCAGCACGGTAAAAGGAAGCCAGCATGAGAAGAGCAGGCCAGGAGCTCCCAAATGAGTAGGCATCCAGGAGGAGACACCATAGCATCAAACATATAAAATAGCCCACAGAATAAAAAGGCTTATGCTTGGCATGTACACTACATGTTCACAAGAAATACAGACAAATGCCAAACAAAAAAAGAGGCAAATAAATCTGGGCATGGTGGTTTATCCCATAATCCTAGCATTCTGGGAGGCTGAGACAGGAGAGTCATAGATTCAAGCCCAGCCTGGGCAACTTAGCAACTTAGGGAAACTCCCATCTCAAAACTTTAAAAGCTTTTAAAAGACTGACAATATAGCTCAGTGTGAAGGCTTTGGATTCAATCATCACTACCAAAAATAAAGAAAATATAGTTTTTACAAAAATATTACCTATGATCATAAACATTTACTTTTTCAGATAGCATTAATTAATAGCAACTTTGCAAAACATAATAATAAAAAAGTAAACTATAAACACAAACACAGACACATACATCTTCTGAGTAATCAAGACACTGCAGAATTCATGAAAATCATTTAACCCAATGTATGGTTCACAGTAGGGCCATTCTAAGGTGTTTTTGCTATAATCATAATTCTATGAATATCTTGACAGCCATTCAGAGTTTGATGACTCCTTAGATATACGTTATTTTATGTATTAAATTTAGTTAGCTTCTTTCAACAACAGGTTGAAACAGAGATGAGGGAATATAGTGGGAGATAGATGCTTAAGAGGAAAGAGAAAGCTATCAAAAAAATAAATCCAAATGGCACTGAGACCACTTAGTGTAGGGACAAACAGTGCTCTGTCTTCCCGGTGGTCCTAGACATAACTATTGTACTGCAATAGAGGACAATCCCTGTGACAGCACAGAATCATCCAGAAAGGTTTTATAATATGTTGTATCCTCTAATTAAGATAGGAAATATTTGCTATAATTTAAAAATATATATTTTGAACATTTATATTTGTAAGTTTTGACAAAAAGAATTTATAAATTGTCTAGAAATCTGACATAAGAATATCAAAATTTTCCCCAATTCTATATATATATGATACATTATCAAATTAAGGGGACAAAAAAATTAAGGGGATATATTTAAGGTAAGTAAAAGCAATTATACTTCCGTTAAGCCTCGATATTGGCTGACTGTCCTGATTTCAATGATCAATATAAGAACACATGTGACATTATGGCGTTTCTAGGCAGAGATCATTTTTTTCATAAGGTACAATAGCTTCTTAGTGCTCTTTGACATAAAATTACCTTTGATTACAGCATTTATTCATTTTTTGATACCATCAATGTGGTATATATGTACAAGGCACAGTGCTAAATGTAAATCTCACCATAGACAAGAAGATGAAAATGTGCCACTTTGACTAAACTGAAAAAGAATACCTCCACAGACTGTCAAAATCTATATTGACTTTTACCCTGAGAGCCTAGTTATTACTGAACCATGTGATAAAGCTAACCCTCACAAATTATCTCACATGCTTTCTGTAGAAAAATCTTCCTTGATTTTCTTTATGCCATACATTACATTTTTCACAGTATCACATACCCAGGATGATTCTTTGAAGAGAAATTTGAGTGTGTTTAGAAGCTGGGCAAATGGTAAAGAAAAATACCTCTATACACAATATTTCATAAACAATGATCTCGCATTCTGATTTTCACAAGATGATTTTCCTTTTGAACTCCCACCAAATGAGAGAAGTATTTAGGCAATATGCAAACAGTAACCAATCTAACCTGGAATAAGTCCCTCTGGTTCCCTGGGGTTGGTAGATACCACCTTGTGCAGACTCATAACCCTATGCCTTGCTCCTCTTCTCTTTGACAATACCTCACACATCAACTTTCCAGAAAATAGTAGTCAAGTGTCTTTCCAGTGACATAAGGTTATTTTGACAATTGCCTGACCAATAGAAACAATGTGAATGAAAGAGACCCTTAGTTTTTCATCCTCACTAAGATGCTAATAGGCTCAAGGCAGTCAGCAATCATGGGGGATGAGTTAGGTGTTTTAGAAGATAACAGGATAAATAAGATTAACTGGTAGGTAAAATACTGTTTTAAATATCCCTGAGTGGATGTGTGGGACAGGATATGCTTTTGCTCACATCCTGTGCAGATGAGCTGGCAGAACTCCTCCATTCACCAGGAAGACTGTGTCCTGTCCACCCCAGTTTGCAGTTCATGCTGGTGCCTGGTTAGAAGTCTTGCAATCAAATTCTAACCGGGGCACAGAATCCACCAGGATTTTGCTGGATGAGATACAGTTCCCCACCATTCATCCGGAAGTCTTCACAGGAGGTATTCTGAGCGTTCATGCTCAAGTAGACTTTGTCTTTGTAAGCCAAAGAAACCACTGTGGTGAAGTCAACCTGCAGGTCCTTTCTCAGGGGGATGGAAATGGGTTTCCGATTCATTCGGTAATGAAGGTTAATGCTGACCTCCTCGTGGAAGTAGCCCTTCATGGAGATGAGATAAAACCCATCACAGTTAATGATGATTGAATTGTTTTCCACCTTCATGATCTGAGCATCATTCGCGAAGAGGGACAATTTCTCTTCCTTACATCCTAAAGAGAATATGGTGAAAATTTGAAAACCATGGTCCCTGAGCACAGAACTAGACAACAAACTTTCTTTACCCAGAGAACCACATGAAGAGAAAGTAATAGAGAGAGGGATTTTGAAACAAGTGAAAGAAAAAAAAAACCTGTAACTACCTATGAGTTGGAATCTGCTTTACCTGCAGAATCAAAGAAGGGATAAAACTAACAACTATGATCAGGAGAATCTCATGTAGGGCTAAGACTTGGAGCTGAGAGATTACAACTGTCATATCAGAACCATGGCAGGAAAGGCAGTACAGGGTTTTCCTAAGTTTTCAGAACTGGGAGGCACTAGCAACTTCAATGCTTACTTTCTTGCTCAGGCAGTGGGCCACAGCAAAGATGGTAACAGTGCTACCTGGCTTGGTCCCACATATGACTTATTAGTTTGTCTCAAAGCTCTGTCTCCTCAACCAAGAAATGCATATTTTCTACATTCTCTGGGCATCAGACTTACTCATAGTGTTTACAAGTGGTAGCTCCCTCAGCTTAATGGTGTGGATTCAAAGTGGGCTTAATCAGGTGCAGATGGAAGAGATCAGGGACACAGACTTGCTTCTCCCTTTGGGTTCCTATTGCTAATTTTCCTGGAAGGTGACTTTGGAAGATTTGCTGTCACAGGCAAAAGAAAGGAGGAGAAAGAAGAGGAAGAATAATAGCAGCAGCAGCTTTGGTAACTTTGTGCAGAGCCATTTCAAGTACAAGCTAAAAAGCCTAAATTTATTTTATTTCCATATTAGCCCCAATACCATATCGAATGGCCAGGCAACTGCCTCTGGACACCTATTTTAGGTTATGGGAAAGACTTTTACCCTGAGAGCCTAGTAATGGTAATGGGAAAGAATAGTTCCCCACAATTCAGTAATTCTGGCTTTGTACTGAGCCCAGAAGGCATATTTTGAACTAAAAATAAGCACCACTTATGGAGGGCAAAAGGCACGCCCCTTTAAGATCAGAGAACTAAACTGACTAAGTAAATATCTGTGTAGAACACATTGGTGGTTGGATGTAATCACAGACACAAAGGATACTTTCACATTAGTCAAAGTATCTTTTTTTTCTTCATATCTAATTTTAATTAAGGTACAATCTCTTAACTTTAATTAAGGTACAATCTTTTCCTGCAGTACCATTAGCAAGTTATGTGTTTTCACAAAAAGACAAACTAGTAGAAAGTAAAGCCTTCATATCCTTAGCTGGAAAAAAACAAGTTTCCTGCACAAAGGGTTCCCAGGGAAACTGAGATACATAAAGACACGTGTGTATTTTTGGGACTTTGGGATTTTCTAAAGTGTACCTTTTTGTTTCTAATGAAAACAGTATTCAGGCTCTGACAATTCAAAATGTAGGAAGAGGACAGATCTTGTATTCTGGAGGAAATTAAAAGACTAAAGAAAAGAGAGTCTTTAAAAAATATAAATCAACCAAACTTTTGACAATACTTACCAGTGAGTAGTATGCGAATGCTCTGAATTGGAGGATGCTGCACCTAAGAGAAGAAAAGAATATTCTGGTGAAATTACTGCATGAAATTGGAAGGTCATACCAATGAAGCAGAAATACAGTGATCTGTAAAGCAGAAGACTTGGCCTTTTCTACGAGGACTAAACCCAGAATTACTCCCTGACTCTTTGCTTTTCCGTAGCATCTTTAACATAAATGAAGATTGTTCTGCTGTTTCATGTAAGCATCTGAGATCTGTCATAATTTCTGCCAAGCTCTTCTTTGGTTTTGACTTGCTTGCTCCGGGACTCCCACTTAGATAACAGTGTTCAATAGTCTGTGGATTGAGAAACCTATTCATAGAGATTCTCTCATGGAACAGTCTTTGATCAGTTTCCATCATAGCCACAAACTCCCAGCACACAATCAGAGCAAGTTCTGCAAAGTTCCTGCATGCTTGTTCTGCCACTGTCTCACAAGAGGAAGTATTTCCTATTTTCAGAGGAAACAGGCAATAAAATCTGAACTTTAGAGCTCAGTATCTTTTTCTTTTTCACACATCGGGTCTTTCCCTTCTCTTCAACAGCTTGAAAAACCTATCTTGCACCAATTCAGTACTCAATAGCAAAATAAGAAAATAATAAACGAGGAAATCTTGGTAGGTAAGTTATCCATGGTCATTTGGTTACAAAGACAATAAAGTTCGATATGGAGCAAAAAGATCCATTAAATGAAATAACAAAGGATGGAATATAAAATCTATTGCCATGTTTGTTTAAATAGACATTTTTGTGGGCATTGACTGTATCTGAAAGAATGCACACACACACACACACACACACACACACACACACACACAAAATAAAACCAGGTTGCAGACATTTCCTCTGGAGAAAAGACCTGGATTCCTGAGATTGACAGCAGAAACGGGATGCTTAGTTTCCTGATCTACTTTTTTTAAGTACCATGCAGTTGTATTCCCTACTAAGAAAGGAAATAGAAAGGAAAAATGCCTCTTATGCCTGCCAAGAACAACAGCTCTACCCACAAGTTTGTTTTTGGCAGGATGTCCTGATCAAAGGTGTAGGGAGGAATTTGTTTTCATGCCTAGGGCAGTGGAATTCCTGCTTCCCACTCTGCTGGCAGTGTTGAGGCCTCACAGACACTGGGGACTCCCCACACAGATGAGGAATCCCCTACTTGCCTTATAATCACAGGCCTCACCACGCGAAAACCAGAAATCAGTGTAGGGAGCCAGAGACAGCTTTTCCTACTCCTGTGGGTGGCTAGGCCTCAGTTCAGTGTCCTGAGTAGGTGAAGAAAGTGTTAGCCAGGGTCCAAGTGAGAATCTGTGGCTCCCTCCCCACCGTGTAGCATTTCCAGAGATTACATTATTGTGTTTTGTGCTTAAAGCAGTGCTCTGAAGATTTCTCAAGAGTGTAGTACTACACCACCACCACCACCACAATAATCCTGGGGTGAACAATTGCTCCCGCTGTTCTCAGGCTAGGGGTACCAGCATGAATTGCCACCTGTTAGAACCACAAGTGATCTGAAAAGGAGCACAGGACCCCGTGTGCAGTTGTTGTTTTCTGATATGAGGCAGGTACTTGGGCAAGTTTCATAAGCATTCTAAATGCCAGTTTATCAACTTTAAAAACCACTAGAAGATCACGGTTATCGCTCCCAGCACTAACTCCCCATGGCTTAGATTTTAAACTTTGCAACCCCAAGTGTAAATTAATAAGAGAGAAAAATATACATGAAGCTTCCATATTCACAAAGTTACTAATTTCTCAACTCTGAAAGACTTTGTGATTTCATTATTGGAGTTAACTTTACAAAATTTTCTGAAAGATTCCTGCAAATCAAAGATATTCACAAGTTTCTAAAGTGCCCTGCTGCTGTAGGAGTGGTAGTGACCAAGAGGACATGCTTTGGCTCTAACATACTGAGGGGCAGCGAGGAAGGCACACGTGATTCCCTCATCTGGGCTCATCTCCAGACCTAGACCATGCCAGAGGACAAAAGAAGCTGTATTCTAGCTGAACACTGTATTTTACAAATGACAAACTTAAGGCCCACAGAAGTGAAAAGATTGACTCTTGACCTCCAATGTGAGTTTGTATTGCACAAGTGGGTGTTTTACTATGTAAATATAGAGTGAGGAGAAATCATTATAAAGACTAAGTTAATCTCCTATTCTCTGTGACCTTGTAGCTACCTCAGTACCAATCATGAAGAGAAGTTGCCACATGGCAGATTAATAATGACTTTATCACAAGAGGATGTAGGGAAAATTTAAGGCCCAAACTTGCACTCCCTTACCTCACCCCACACCCCCAATTTCAGTCCCACCATTAGTGGTCTAAAACAAAACGAATCACAACCAAGTACCCACTTAGCAAATGTGAACTATTTGACCAGCAGACTGAATGATGCCTATATAACGTTTATTTAGAAGCAGATGATGATACAGCACGTGGGTTTGTCAGCCCACTGGTGCTTAAATGTTAATGCACATGAGACTCATCTGAGAAATTTTTCAAAACCAACCAGTCTGGAATGCCAACTTATTCACAAAGATCCTGGTGCAAATGTCTGGGTGAACCCAGGAGTAGGCATTTCTACAAAGTTCACTAAAGTGTTCAATTCCAAAGATCTAAAGTACAGAGAGAATATTTTTAACCATGCCCTGTGAGGAAGGAGGGAAACCTGCCTGTCCTCAGGCTGCTGTTCATTAAATATTTGCTTTATTATAACTATTATTCTCCAGCTGAAGAATATTGTGACTGTCATATAACTTGGTGGTTTGAGTAGAAACAGGATCAACAATTACTAAGGACTGCTATGTGGCAAGTGTTACACTCAACTCTGGGAACACAAAAGGATAAAACATATCTTTGTTGTAGACAAACTTGTACTCTGGGCAGAAAGTCCCTATAACAAAGGGGAAAAAAAATTTTACTAAATACCAGTAAGCAATACAAACTTAAATTTCAGAATATGAAAAAAATCATTGCAGGCTTTGGTTGTAAAAGGAGAAAGAACCCAGATGTAGGGTTCCTGAAAAGACAGAAGAGAGAAAAGACTCCATTAAATCAGAGAGATTCAACAGTTAGCTGGAGGAAAGGTCTGCAAAGTAAACCATTTATGTGCATTCAAGAAAAAGAATATAAACTCACTGAGAAATTACAACATGGCATGCATTTCAGTAATCTCATTCATTTGCTTTCAAAATAACCCCTGTGTTTCATGGATAGGAAAATGAGAATCAGTGCTGCTAAGAACTTGCTGAGGAATACATTCTACTGAACTCGGTTGAAATCCAGGCTCATGATAACAACCCGTTTCCTATATAACCTCAAGAATTTAAAAAAAAAAAAAAAAAAAAAGGATATTTACTTGGGAGTCCAACATTAATGTTAACTATTTGCCTCAAGAATACTGAATGAGATTGCTTTTCAAACCTTTATATAGTTGTCAAAATACTCAGATATATTTCAAAATACCCAGAAGTTCTCCAAAAAGAACTCCTCAACTAGCCCTGCGGGGCTGTCTGTGTAGTGCAGGTTGCCAAGTCATTAGCTGAATTCTGACTAGATGTAACTGACAAGGAGCACCAACCCAGGCCCAAGCACAAAATACATTTCAAGCAGGTGCAAAGGAAATACAAAATTAAATCCTTTCCTGGCTTCTCACTGCTTTGAGAGCTGGGCTGTTTAAGAACATAGGTGAAATAGTCTGGTGTCTGGTATTTATTTAGTAGCCTGTACCATGTTCCCAAGAAGGAGGTACTCGTTTCAAGAGCTCATCTTCAAAGAATATGAGCCTCTGATTCTGACTCACTAGAAAGTGGCATGGAGCTGTCAACCTTACACTCATTTGGCATTTGTCTAGTACAGGGGTGTCGGTGACACGAGCCAGGGCTATTGATCAAATACGAAACCAGCACATGGGCTCTACTCTCACCACGTGGGCCTTGTGGTTCCTCACTTGACAGCAGGCCACAGTGTCAAGGTCCTGGGGAAGATTAGGGGTGAGGTGTGATTCAGTAGAGGATAATGGAGAAACAGATCTGTGACGGCAACTTGCTGGCTCGCCAAGCCACCTCCGCTGGGATAGAACTACGTAACTCGCCACCTTGGACTCATGTCTACCACAGGAGACCCAAGAGGTCATAAAACCACAATGTCACAAACTCAGAGTTTGTCTCAAAGAGCCTCAAAAGAGGAAAATGGACATTTCTACACTCACCCCGCATAGCAGACAGAGAGGGCAGACTTTCATCCTAGAGAAAGGACAGTGAACATTTTAGACACTGAGTGCCCAAACTGGAACCCAAGACCCACTTATTTATCACAAAGTACAAATGCTGCAATGAAACCTGAGTGTTTGGCTGCTGGAGTGATGCTAGGCTTGGGTTTCATGGGCCAAAAGAGAAGGCCCTGTGTGCCTTAGCTTCACCACCGCTGTGCTAGAGGATTTGGTGTGTAGTCCCTAGAAACAACCCCTTTACAAATGGATGAGTCCTTGCTTATGGTCAAGGAAATTCAGAACCCCACCAAGGGAAAGAAGCAGGAAAAATGGGCAATGAGTTCTTTGGTCAAGGAATCTTCCATATACAAAACACTTACCTCGAATTACATGTCTTAGAGACAAAGATGTGTGGCTTTGAAAATCTTGTTGAACAATGAATTTGCTGAGTTTTAATGAACTGAGAGAAAAGCACTCTTAGTGTCCCCCAGGACGTTCTCTATTGCTGGGTCCATGCTGACCACTGCCGCCACCCCTTTTCTCCGTACCTTCTCTCTTAACTTCCACCTCCACCCCCACAGCCTGGGTAGTATTTCTAATAACCCCCACCCTAACTCCTGAAATTCCTCTTATCAAAGCTACCTTAAAGGCTGTTTGAGTCTCCCCTCCGAAAGATATCACCCCTCTCTGTCTTAGAGAATGTAAACTGCAGTTTCATTGTCCTTGATTCTTCGCAGTTGATAGTTTCTAAAAGTAATCTCAGATATGCGGGAAAACAACAAGGACCCA